AGCAGGGAGGGCTAAGAAAGAACACGTGCACACACACACACACACACACACACACACACACGCACACACAAACTTGAGCTGCCAAAGATGAGCTTACAATCCAATATTTCAAAACAGACAGAAAACTGAATTCATTTGACAATATGAAAAAAATAAGGAAATCTAAAAAAGTATTAAAACTGAGTAAGTTTAAAGTCCTCAAAAAATAATGAAAGGATAGTATTAATTCAAAAGAATAAAAAAACAAGAAACAAAAATAAGCAGAAATGAAGTAAATATAAATGATGTTAATACGAGGAGATCAGGGCTCAGCCTTTCTGAGACCCCCTCCTGTACAGGAGTTTTTCTTTCCTTTTCCTTTCTGCTTAATAAACCTCTGCTTTTTTTTCCTCATAAATAAATAAATAAAGTGATCAGAGATCCTGGAAACGAAAAATAGAATTATAAATAAAAAAACTCATTGAACAGGAAAAATTCCAGACTAGGTACCAATGAAAGAATAAATGAACTAAAAGATAGTCTAAAATGCAACAGAAGATACAAGACAAAAAATATGTTAAAAAGCAGTTGAAAGGCATGGAAGATGACAGATTAAGTGGCCCAAAATATATCTAATAGATATGGAGCAGAAAAAAATTTCAAGGCAATAGAAAGTAATATTTGAAGAGCTATGTGCCAGAATTAAAGATGTAAGTTGGCATGAGGAAGTACAAACAGTATCAAGTAGGTATACATCTGATAAGGTCAGAGAACACTGAAGAAAGAACAGAGCAGGTACTGGTTCTGGGTATTCTGTCCTTCAGGAGCACTACAATGGGAAGACATCAAAATGAGAAGGAAAGGGAAAGACCCCTGGGGAGATGGGAGTGTGTTTTTCTGAACACATTTGTGTGTGCATGAGGGAGTTGGTGTGAGCCTTATGGGGGCAGAAGGCAGAGCATGAAGTGGTAGGATAAAATAAGGAAGAAGAAAACTTCATGCAGCTGGGTGCTGGTGGCTCACACCTGTAATACTAGCTACTCAAGAGGCAGAGATCAGGCGTATTTGCAGTTCAAAGCCAGCCCAGGCAAATAGTTCATGAGACCCTATCTCAAAAATACGTAACATAAAAAGGGCTGGTGAAGTGGTTCAAGGCATAGCCCCTGAGTTCAAGCCCCAGTACTGGGGAAAAAAAGCACACACACACAAAACTCTGCAGATTGACCATACCTTTCCTCTTACAAGCCCCAAGAGGGCAGGTGGTTTACAGTTTAAGAAGTGTCTCCTTCAGCCAGGCACTGGTGGCTCATACCCATAATCCTACTCAGGAGGCAGAGACCAGGAGCACTGTAGTTCAAAGCAAACCTGGGCAGATAGTTTGCGAGACCTTATCACAAAGAAGGGCTGATGTAGTGGCTCAAGAAGTAGGCCTTAAATTCAAATCCCAGTACCACAAAAACAAGTAGCATCTCCTTCAAAGGCTGCTTCTTATTAGGGTGCTAAGGATTAAGATAGAACCAGAGGCCTTAATCCTAGAGTGCAGAATAGTTAATTTTGGTTTCTTATGGAGGAATGGGAATGAGTGTTCCCTACCCTACAGCCCATTTCCCCATTGCCCACTTAAGCTGACAGGGCTGCACAGACTAAGGCCTAGTCTTTAGAATCCTAGACAGAGCAGTCATTACCTCTAGGGTAACCAGTCAATTGAGGAACTTAAGTATCTCAAAAGAAAAAGAAAAATCAGAGATTTCATCAGAAGCACAAATATTAGAAAAGATGGACTAAGAATTTGAAATAAGCTTAATAAGCACACTAAAATAAGTAAGGAAGGATATAAGTAATATAAAACAGGAAGAAGAGATGATACGAAAAATGAAATAAACATTAAATATACAACAAAATAGCTGCAATAGAGAACACAGATGGGCTAAATAATGGAATGGGTATAGCTGTAACAAACTGGAAGATCAGATCGAGGAATTCTCATAGAAAAAAATGAAAACAATAAAAAATGGAAACTATAAAGAAAAGTTAAGAAATATGAAGACAGAAAGAGAACTATTAAAATATCCAGATAATGAGTCCAAGGAAGAAAAAAAAGATAAATAATAGAAAATATTTGAAGAAAATCAGAGATAATAACCTCAGAATTAAATAGAGATGACAGGATTTTCCCCAGTGAGAAATTCCATGGGTCACAAAGGAAAGCCCACATTCAAATATACTGCATTTGAGGCTTTTCAACAAGTCATGTTGAATAGCCAAGTTATGGAAACAGCCAAGATGCCCCACCACTGACGAATGGATCAAGAAAATGTGGTATCTATACACAATGAAATATTATGCAGCCATGAAGAAGAACGAAATGTTATCATTCGCTGTTAAATGGATGGAACTGGAGAACATCATTCTGAGTGAGGTTAGCCTGGCCCAAAAGACCAAAAATCGTATGTTCTCCCTCATATGTGGACATTAGATCAAGGGCAAACACAACAATGGGATTGGACTTTGAGCACATGATAAAAGCGAGAGCACACAAGGGAGGGGTGAGGATAGGTAAGAAACCTAAAAAATTAACTAGCATTTGTTGCCCTCAACGCAGAGAAACTAAAGCAGATACCTTAAAAGCAACTGAGGCCAATAGGAAAAGGGGACCAGGAACTAGAGAAAAGGTTAGATCAAAAAGAATTAACCTAGAAGGTAACACACACGCACAGGAAATCAATGTGAGTCAATGCCCTGTATAGCTATCCTTATCTCAACCAGCAAAACCCCTTGTTCCTTCCTATTATTGCTTATACTCTCTCTACAACAAAATTAGAAATAAGGGCAAAATAGTTTCTGCTGGGTATTGAGGGGGTTGGGGGGAGAGGGAGGGGGCGGAGTGGGTGGTAAGGGAGGGGGTGGGAGCAGGGGGGAGAAATTACCCAAGCATTGTATGCACATATGAATAATAAAATAAAAAAAAACAAGTCATGTTGAAACCAGTGGATATCCTCAGGCAAATAAATTATTGACCTGCACTTCTCATCTCCTTGCAAAAATTAATTCAAAATAAAACGTAGACCCTAAATTGAAAACTTAACACCTTTAGGAAAAAACCTACATGACCTTGGATCAGGTACAGTCCTTAGAAAAAGGACACACAAAAGTGTGATGCATAAAGAAAAAAATGATATACTGGACTTCATCAAATTTAAAACTTTTTCGCTGTGAAAGATATTGTTAAAAAGAAAAGATAGGACACAAACAGGAAGAAAATACATGTCAGTCATGTATCTAGCAAAGGACTTCTCCCTAGAATACGTGAAGAACTTGCAACACTCAATGGTAAAAAAACCAACAAATCAATTGGAAAATGGGCAAAATATAAATATGTATTTCACCAAAGAGAAGCTTTAAGGGCTCAGATAAGCAAACAAAAGATATCCACACCATCAGTCATTTGGGAAATGCAAATTAAAACCATAATGATATATCAATATCTCTAAACAGCAAAAATAAAAATAATGATAACACCAAAGGTTGGTGTGGATGCAAACCATCTCTCATACACTGTGGGAGAAATATAAAATGGGACAGCCACTTTGGAAAAGAGTTTGTTTCTTACAAAACTCAGCATGCACTTATTATACAAGCCACCAATCCATGTCTTGGACATCTATCCTACAGAGATGAAAACTTCACACACAAAAATCTATACATGAATATTCACAGCAGCCCCAAACCAGAAACCCAAATGTTCATTGGGTGAATGGTTGAATAAACTCCTGCACATCTTTATAATGTGAGGCTAGGCTACTCAGCAATAAAAAGGAATGAATGACTGATATGTGCAACAACCAAAATGGACCTTAAGAGCACTTTTAATGAGTGAAAAAATTCAATCTCAAAAGGTTACATATTGTTTATTACATTTTTAGAACATTCTACAAAGGACCAAAAACCCCACAAAGATGAAGAAAGCATTAGTTTTTGCCAGAAGATGGGATTAGCATATTTTTATATGCTTATTTGGACTATTATAACTTCTCCTTGGTGAAAAATATACTCATATCTCTGCACACTTTCTTATTGATTTGTCTGGCTTTTTTACCATTGAGTTCTATGAGTTCTTCATATATTCCAGGTACAAGTTCTTTGCTAGATATGTGCTCTGCATGTATTTTCTTCCTGAGTTGGGACAGGGTGGAAGTGGATAGCATGAGGGACTTCTTTTGTTGGAATGGAACAGTTCTATATCCTGAGTCACACAAATTTATATGTGCAACAAAATTGCACAGAACCATGTATATAAACACAAATGAACGTTAAAAAATGGAATAGTAAATTGAAAAACTAAATATTAAATAAGATCTGTAGACTAGTTAGCACTTAACATACCAGTGTCTGCTTCTTGGTTTTGGTATTGTTACTACAACTGTGTAAGATGCCAACACTCGGGGAAAGGATACCCAGGACTCTGTACTATTTTTGCAACTTCCTATGAGTTACAATTATTTCACGATAAAAAGTTTGTTAATGAGTAGAGAGAAATGTAGCTACTCAGTAAATACTGCCTACCCACAGGGCACAAATAAAATAAGACCTCTATCTTACACTATACAGTACAGTTCTAGAGGACATAAGGACTGCAACGCTTAGAAGAAAAATAAGATAAGAAATACTTTAAGACTTTTTAAAAAGCACAAGCCATAAAGGAAAACTTCAACAGTCTGACCTTATTTGTATTTAAAATCCTGAACACCACCAACACACATACACACACACACACACACACACACACACACACACACACGGAAAAGATAAGCAGTTTCTCTTAGAACAAACAAAGCTGGGGGAAAAGCCAGGAAACAGACCACCTTCCAGAAAGGAAAGTGGCCCTGCAGACACATCAATTTTAACGCAGTGAGGCAGAGGTCAGACTTCTAACCTGCAGAACTGTGAGGTAACACACTTGAGCTGCCTTAAGGCATATTCTTGGTAACTTGCAGCCAAAGGAAACTATAGCAGCACCTCACCTCTGTTGACTTCCATGCCTTCATCTTGAGTGGCAGAGCCTCCTTGGACAAGGCAGTTCCAGCAGGTGACTGGATGTCTTGGCACTGCTCTTGGTTTAGTCCCATCTTGGAAGCATTTTCTGTCAACAACATAAAGCTAAGATTTTACTCTGGCAAAAAAGCAATGTTTTTATAGTAGCTCATAATTTTTAAGCTAATCACTTCTGAAGATTCATTTTTTTCTGCTAAATATATATCAACTACCAATGGTAACCTATGAGTATTATTAATCACACTGCCAAGCACTATAAATAGTGGGCAAGTTCAGAATTACTTAAAAAACACAACTTAAATTCTATAGCCCATTCTCATATCAACAATTCTGTTATAGCTTTATTTTCTGCAATATTTTTTAAATAAGGTGTAACATAGTAGTGCATATAAAATAGTACATAGTAATGAGTAAAACAGAAAATAGAATTGAAAATGTGAAAATTATTCAAAGGAAATTGTACCAATGTAGAAATGACAAATTATAATTATTCAAATTAACATTAAAGAATTTTATTATTGCATTATGAATTTCATGTGTTCTAAGAGAAATTAATCAGATTTATATAGATTATTTGATAAGACAACACAATTTAAATTTTTTAATTTAAAAATAAAAAGATACATCAATGAAAATAAACTGATGTTCTATATTTTTAGTAAATTTAATATTTTCAGTCTAATAGCCTTTGCCTTCCTATGTTAATCACTGTGTATTAGTACCTCTGATGTCTAACTCTTGGCCTGGGGATGTAGCTCAGTCAGTGGTAGAGAACTTGCCTAGCACACATGAGGGTTCCATCCCTAGCACCCCCAAAACAAAGGAAGTATAGGAAAGCTTTTTTTACACACTGATGTATGCTCACTATTGGGGGTATAGAAAGACTTCCCAGGGCTAGGCGGGCATACACCCTTTTAAGGAATCAATTTCCAGATTTGCAATGTCTACAGATATTCTTTCCAAAAAGTCATCAGCCTGAGAATGCAAGTGCAGAGAGGCATTAGGCCAGTTCTTTCCCTTCATATTCATAACCAGCATTTACCCACTGCACAAAAAAAAGACATATCTTTCATCCATTTTTATTATGGTGTATCCTCCCAAAGCATAATAACCTCGAAAGCACCACACAATAGTTCAAAAGAATAGAAAAAAAACTGGTTTGGGGAGTTTAATTAAGACATGAAAAGCTCAGTGTCCTGTCTCACACATTTCCTTTTAATGACAAAGCAATAGCAATAAGGAATATTTATTTTGGTCCACACCCGTATATTTGGTATATTTTAGTATTTGGATCTATGATCTACTGTAGTACAGTGTGGAACAGGACAGGTGACAAATTTCACTTAATGTCCTTGTACATTTCATCCCCCAACTACTGCCAAAGAATGCATCATTTCTAAGGAAGAGTACTCTGAGAGTCAAGCAATGAAAGCCTGGGGCAGGGAGTGCCCTATGTCATCAACTCTTGACAGAGTCCAAGCTGAGCCAGAAAAAGAACTCAGGAGTATGAAGGTAATCAAGCAATGTCTATTTTTACATTTATTTAAGTAAGTAAGTAAGACATTTCTGGGAAAAAAAAAAACTTTAAATCTGACTTGGCTAGTTGTTTTGACAATGAAGGTTGGCTTTGCCAACTAGGTTACAGATCATGTAACCCAGATGGTTTCCAAAAATTGAATGAACCAAATCTGCAGTTTTAAGACTTGATGAAAACATATTTAAAGCAATAAAACAATTTTCCCCAAAATTAATGAATTGATAGATATAAGGTAATTAATATTTTTATTTTTCCCACAGTTGCTGACTATATTAGGTTAAACTATAACAGGCTTAATTAGTAGTTATTTGATACATTTCAGTAAAGGTTTTTTTTTTTTTGGTATTATTCCCAGAAATTAAGAAAGTAAATTACTCCTAATGACTGTTTTAGCAAATCTTTTTCTAAGTAAGGTGTTTCTAATTCTTCGCTTCAATAATAATGAAGACTTAAGTTAGCAGTTGGCAAAAACTGAAAAATATTTTTATAATACATCACTATATAATTGTTGGCATGTTACTTGGAAGGAACTCATAGAATTGATTGACAGTGTTATAATAAAGAACTTTCTAGTCCCAACTATAATTGTATGAACAAGTTTTCATGGAATTTATCTCTATAGAAATGTAAAACAGAAACAGAATTGATGCTGAATCTTGCTTTCATCTAACAGTAAGTAGTACTGATATGAAGGTAAATGAATAGTCTATGTATCTTATAAAGGCATATATTTCCAATAAAACAGTACTCTGTGTTAGACAAGTATTTATAAAATTTATATGTATTCATGTGATTTTGATAGATTATATACAAACAATAACTGCATAAGAAGTCAAGCTAGCCAGGCATCGTGATGCACACCTACAACCCCAGCATTCAGGAGGCACAGGAAGATCACAAGTTGGAGGTCATCTTGGACTACATAGCAAGTTCAAGGCCAGCCTGAGCTACATAGTGAGTTCAAAATACAACAAAAAAGACCCATGTCAATCTATAAGGAATATTTTACCACTTGAAACCTTTGCTCACAGAAAATTTAGATGAAGATTTTTAATTAATATACATATTTGATTTAAAAAAACTTTCAAGCAAAAACATACCTGAGATGTGATGTGGAGTCTGAGAGAGATGTGGAATAAAATATGATTTCAAGGAGAAAAAGGAATGATGTGGTATTTCCAGCAGCTTAAAGATGACCATGTATTTTTTTCAAATGAATGCCTACAGGTATCAATCCCAGTAATATTTACATTCCTCTAGATAAATTCCTTTAGACACTAGTGTTGGTTTGGGAGGGGTGCTTTTTCCCCAATGCTGGGGTTCAAACCCAGAACCTTCCCCCATGCTAGGCCAGTGTTCTACCAGTGAAGTTACATCCCAGCCCTTTTTATTTTGTTTTGAGATCAGGTCTTGCTAAGTTGCCCAGACTTACCTGAAACTTGTGATTCTCCTGCCTCAGTCTCCAAAGTAGCTGAGATTACAGGCATGCACCACAATATCCAGCTTGTTTTTCTTTTCTATCAATAATTACAATATGCCAGAATTATGTACTTTGCAGTTATTTATTCTTATAAAACGTGTAAGGAAATACATGATTTTTCAAAATCATTTTGTGGTTATATAAGAAAAATATCTTTGAAAAGCTTTGGTATGAGACATCTCTGCTTTCAAAAAGTTTATACCCTCACCAAGGAGGTAAGTCTGAGATTATAGGAAATAATTAGACAAAAATTATAAGCTGAATTTTCTTAAACTAACCAACTGCAGGAAAAGCCTCAAAAAGGAAGTAAAATTTGAATAAGGCTTTGAAGGATGACTAGGATTCCAATATATGTAAAGGAAGACAGAAATTATTCCAAGCAGATGGAACTATGTTGGCAAAAGGAGCAAGTATGATAGATGCCAGAGACAATGGAGAAATAATGAGGACTTTTCATTTATGTTTGCAGCTTTTTTTATAGATATGAAATTATTTTAGTCCTTTAGTACAGTCTGCTTCCCTCTTCATCCCCCCAAAACAAAAATCAAACTTCTGGTTGGACAGCATCAGATGTCAGTGAGATGACCCCAGCCTGTTTACAGTTTCAAGTCTTCTGTGTAGGCGTCATTGCTAGATCAGGAGCCTGTATGATGATATCCTGAACATTTTCTATTCTTTCCTCACATAGAGGTAGCTACAGAATGAAGGAGCTGGAAAACGTTGACTTGGTTCCTTTTAGAGCAGATTCCCCATTGGACATTGCCTGGAGGCCTTGGTGATGAAGGAGATGTTCTGCAGTTTGGATCAGTAGCAGAAGCAGGTGCACCAGGGAACAGATTAGCCTACATCACCCAACCTCACATGAAAATGAGTAATTAAAATAAGCTTATTTTGGATTTGTAGATTTATAATCAATACTGGCAAACAGTGGTGACTTGGGGCTTAGATCATCTGTCTACTTTCCTAGGATTTAATCAGAAACTATATTATCACTCCTTCAGCATTCAGCAACAAAATTATCTTTGAAATAACATTGACTTGGGCTTTCTACATCACAGAAGTAAATTAATAAAAATTTCAGAAAGTCAATTTTGAAGAAAATTGTGAGAAAAACTGAAGAACAGCAAGAATTGTGACAGAAAAACTAGAATGTTATAAACCTACCCTATGGGACAAGAAGAATAGTCAGAATATAGAAAGTCTATGGAAATTCACTATTTTTTTTTTAGTATCAGATAGCACAACACTAGAAGTGAGGTGTGTCTAATTAGATCAGGTGATCATACAACATCCTAGATTTTCACAAACAAAGGGGAAGGAGAGAACACACATTTAGTTGTTTAACAGAAATGAAGTCCCATTGGTATCATCACCATTTATCAATTGAGACTGTGAAATCACAAGCCAATGAGGCAGAGTGTCAATGAGAAGCCTTCAGAAGAAAGGGTGAAGAGACCACAGGAAATGACACTAAGGAGTCACTTGCAGATTAGGGTCTAGATATCATGGCTGTAAGCATTTTGTTGAAACTATCTAAAGAAGTTAAGCCTGCACCACTCAGATAATACCTCAAAGTAGAACTGGGAAGCCCTGTGATCATTTGTACATGAGATAGCAAACCCACAGACTGTGAGATATTAACAATGCAACAGCATACTTGGAACTGAAATGTCCCATAAATTGAACACATTTCCATTTATTTCTTGGCATCTAATAAACATTGTAGTTGTGAATCAACAGTGTCCTTTCAGGTATAATTTAAATAAACTAAACCATTTACTTAAAATTAACTCTTCAAAGCCAGGCATGATGGCACAGGTTGTAGTCTCAACTAGTTAGGAGGCTGAGGATCACTTGAGTCTAAGAATTGAAGGCCAGCCTGGGCAATATAGTGACAATCTGTCTCAAAAAAATGTTTTTCATAAAAGACATCATAGAAAATATCCAGTGAACTAATGAAGAAATGATAAGATATAAAAGTAAAGTCTTAGGTGATTAAGTTTCTTTCTGACTTTTGCAGGATCACGAGTTTGGAACCTTGACTCCAAGCTCATTATCTTGGAGCATAATT